TTTTAAACTAATTTGTTTCACTTATATATTAATATATAATTTAATGATGTACATAAATATTTTATAAAGATATTTAACATATGTTATAATTAAATAATTTGATAACTTTTTTTAAAATTAGTTAATTGAGTTTTATATTAAGGATAGAGAATTATTTTTTCTTCTTCTTCATATCATTAATTAAAGCATACTTTAGATAAAGAAAAGAAGCGGCTCAATCATCAATTGGCGACTTTGTCTTATATGACTAATTAAATGCAGGACAGTAACAAAGTCCTTCGCCCGACAAAAATAATAGTATATCTAAGTCCACGCCTTAATCATGCATCCTTTTTTTAGGTGAAGAAAGGGGCTAAGCCCAGACTAGAACAGATAAGGCCAAGGAAAACACACAAAGAAAAGAAGCATTAGCGTTCGGAAGCCGTATCTACATTGGCTTCCTGTCTAAGAATGTTAACCATGCATCTTTAAATTAGGATGTTGGTGCATTCACAATGGGGAAAATTAAAAATTCATAATATGTTATCCAGGTTTTAAATATTTCCCTCCATCTTAGTAAATATATTTTCAATTATTTTCTTAACTATAGGTAATAGTACATTATGTACAAGCTATCTATTGCCCTTTCAGGGTAAAAAAGTTTGAAAGCTAAAAAGAGTGATGAAGAGATGTAGTAAAGATCATAGGAGAAATCTACGGTTATTGCGGGGACGGTGTGAAAAGCTATCAATTCAAAAAGGAAAAAAAAAAAAAACAAAATCTTTGCAGATTAATTTGGGCAAAGCATTTGCAAATTAAGTCAAGTTATGTAATGCAATTAACAAGTTTTTTAATGTTATTAACAAGTTTGGTATCGCTATTAACAATCATTTTTTAAGAAATTCAAAAAATGATATTTTTACAATTTTAATAATGCAGTTAATAAGTTATGCAATGATATTAACAACTTTTATAATGTTATTAAAAAATTTTACCTATGAAGATTGATGGTTTGATGGTTTTTTCTTTTTAAAAAAAAAATGAAAGAGCAACATTATAAATTCACTAAAATTTTAAAATTTCAATTTAGTCCTTATGACAAATTTGGAATTTTGCAAGTTTAAGCTACTATTTGAGGTATTGCAAATTCAAATATCATTTTACTTAATTTTTTCCTATAATTTTTGGATTAAGCATTTAAGCTCATATTTTTCACATTCTTTCACCTTTATTTCATGCAAAATCTAACCAAGATAATAATTCAATAATGAGGAAGACTTCTCCCCTAACCCGACCCTTGACTTTTGGAAGAGTCACATTTAATTGAAAATAAATGAATGAAGGAAGGAGACAAGAAGCTACTCATTTATACCATATTCTCTCCTTAATATAAGACACCTAATTAACTAATTTGAAAATATTAAGAAAGTTACTAAATTATTTTAAAGTATTTATATTTATCATTTTTTAAATTAATTTGCCGCACTTATATATTGATACTTAATCTAATGATGCACACAAATATTTTATAGAGATATGAAACATATGTTTTAATTAAGTAATTTGGTAACTTTCTTAATCTTATCAAATTAGTCAATTAATTGAGTCTTATTAAGAACTAGAGGTATTATTATTTTTTCTTCTTCCTATCATTAATTAGAGCATACTTTAGATAAAGAGAAGAAGCGGCTCAATCATCAATTGCCGAGTATATGACTAATGAAATGCAGGACAGTAACAAAGTCCTTTGACCCACACAAATAATATTATATCTAAGTCCATACCTTAATCACGGATCTTTAAATTAGGATGCTAATGCATTCAGAGTGCGGAAACTTAATCATTCATAATGTGTTATCCACGTTTAATTTTAAATATTTCCTTCCATCTTAGTACAATATATTTTCAATTATTTTCTTAAATATAAGTAATATTACGTTATGTAAAAGCTATCTATTGCCCTTTCAGAGTAAAAAATTTTGAAAGTTGAAAAGAGTGATGAAGAGATTTAGTAAAGATCATGGGAGAATTCTACAGTTATTGTGGGGACGGTGTGAAAAGCTATCAATTCAAAAACAAACAAAAAAACACATCTTTGCAAATTAATTTCGGCAAATCATTTGCAAATCAAATCAAATTAAAAAGGCTAAAATATAGATGCAGATTTCATATTAAGATAAACTATAAGGTTAAGATATATCCAGTACTTAGAAAAAAATTTTCGGGGTCATTAGTGAAGTATTTTTGCCAAAACCCAGCGAAATTGAGAGCATAATAGTAGGCCCAATAAGGTCCAAAATGATAGTAGATTATTTATTATGATTAAAGGAGATTAACCTGCCCTCGTGAGGGCATTGAAGTTTGTTTAATCCCTAGTGTATTATTGATAGAAAAAAAAAAGGAGATTAACGTTGGTAGGATAATTAAGGTTGCGTTAACCAAGGTAAAGGTAAACTTAGATTAGCAAAACTAACCATGATTGGAGAGAATAATAACCATAAATGGTTAAAAATAATTATAGTCGTTTTGCCAACTAAAAATAATAATATATAGTTAGTAAAATTAACTATGGCTGAAGTAAAATAATATATTTAACTGAAAATAATCATGGCTAAAGTGGATGGGTGGCAAAATTAGTAAATAGTATCACACCCAAGGCCAAAAGTGGGAGAAAACAAATTGATGTCAAGGCCAAGAATGGAAGATTAAAATGGAAACTGAGAATTTAATCTTAAAAAGTAACGTTAATGATACAACTAAATATTTGGGCTGATTATTATCGATAGAAGCCAACATTTAATAAATATAATGTAATAAGACAAAATTTATTGAATACTACCATTTGTTCTTAACATAAGAGCTCATTTAAATTTTATTTTGGTTCTAAATATAAGATTCCAATTTACTTTATCTCTTGTATTTATCTATCTTTTCTCAAGGCAGTCTTTATAATAATGATAGTTTTAACCAATATACTTGATTAATAATGATATTTTAGAAAAAATAACACATATTTATTATGTATAACTAATTTAACTTATTTTTTTAATCTACACAAATTAGTCAACTAGTTCTTATGTTAAGGATTAGAGATAGTATAATGTAATTGTTGGACTAGGCTTATATTTTCCACATTCTTCCACCGTCATTTCGTGCGAAATCTGACCAAGGAAAGAGCCAGAAGCTCTCAACAGCACACATTCATAGAATTTCAAAAGAGGTTTTGGAGATGGAAATTAGTCAAAACCCCTACCGAATTTTCTTCAAATCAAAGTATTCTTCGTCACATTAATTTGATTTTAGATTGTGATAAAAAAATTTAAAAACTTCAAAAAATAACTAAAAATCCTTAGTAATTATTTGAATAATTATCATTTCTGATCATTTTTCAAAATTTAATTTTTTTATAGTGCGCACGCTCTTTTTTTTTTTTGACCAGGTATATGTGTTTACACTCTATATCCATATGCTTAAAATTTATTAATTTGTTACATTTAGTGTATTGTGTATCACATTATTGCCACATATGTACTTCTTCACGTCTCTGCAATGTAGCTTTTACATAAACAACATATTTGACTGGCATTACAATTCAGGAGAATTATTATTAGAAGCCAGGAAAAAAATAACTACCAAAAATTTTCAACGACAAATAGTGAAAAGTTGTCATTTCTTATACTAGAATTTGTTAATGCATGCTATACTGTTCTCATTAAGACTTTTTAATTATTATATTCATTTCTTAAAACTTTATAGCAGTTCTCCCTTACAATTACAAAACAAAAAATTGCAAGATAAAAACCTTAGCTTGAACATGTTCATATTCTTTCTTCGTATTATTAATTAAAGCATGCATAATGCAGTACTTTTTTTTTTTTTTAACCAGGCATAATGCTTTACTTTAGATGAATAGAAGAAGCGACTCGATCATCAATTGGCGACCTTATCTTATATGACTATAATTAAATGGAGAACCGTAACAAAGTAAATACATATATAAGGTTGCAAAACATTTTCAACCAACATATATATAAATATATATTTAAAAGATAACATCACAAATGAGTTTTAATAAATAAACAAGATTAAAAATTTAAATTTATAGAAAATAAAAATATATAATTATAAAAGTAATTAAATTTGTAATATGGCTATCAACTTAATAGTGTAACAAAAATATTAAAATAAGTGTCAAAATTAATTTTAATTTTGAATAAAGATATGTCATATCTAATTGAATGATAATTATTAAGTAATATTTGTATTAAGCAGGGGCATTTTGGTCAAAATAATGGGTAAACATTATAATCTAATGGTCAGCTAGTGGTTGAGTGGATAAAATTGAATTTCTAAATCAGGAAGAAGGTTACTTCAATATATTTTGATTTTAAAGGAAGTCTATATAGGTTTTCAAAATAAAATAGAGGTCTATGTATTTAGATTAAATAGAAAGGTGGTTAATGTGTTTTACTTGTATAATATTGTAGCTGTGTCCATGCCTGAATTAATCACATGCATCTTTAAACTTGTATGTTAATATTTTCGTAGGGAGGTTGCTTGAAGAAATTGTTTCACTATTTGATATTGACACAAAAAGCTGATATTGACATTCCAAAATTTGATATCGATATGTAACAAATTTATTTGCAATATATTGATTTTCAATGCTCTAATATGAAAAAATGAAAAAAGAAAACTAAGGAATAAATTCGTTTCTGCAGGAAGTTCACGCTAAACTTTTATAATTTGACATTAATATATTAAAATTTTGTAACTATTTTTTTTTTTAAATTTTTAACAGAGAAATTTGAAAGGTGAATAGAGAAAATATTTTTTATCATATTTATAAGCCACATTATTAAATTTTTAATATGAACATATTATTATACCCTTCATTTATTATTTATCGTTATTAACTATGACTCCATTATACTTATAAATTTGAGCTCCATCTAGAGGAAACCTAAAGCACTTGCAAGAAACCACGTACTCAATAGTTATTGTTCTTCTTCATCTTCTCCATGGCGCAACCATCTCCGTCTGATCTCATTTTCACAGTGAGAAGACAGAAGCCGGAGCTTATATCGCCGGCAAAACCTACTCCTCATGAGATCAAGCCTTTGTCTGACTTAGATGACCAACATTTCTTACGCATGCAAATTTCACTCATACACTTTTATCGTCCTAAGCCTTCCATGGCAGGCAAGGACCCAGTCAAAGCCATCAGAGAAGCTTTGGCTCAGACACTTGTGTTTTACTATCCTTTTGCAGGAAGACTCAAGGAAGGTGGAGGTCGCAAGCTTATGGTGGATTGTAATGAAGAAGGTGTTATGTTCACTGAGGCTGATGCTGACGTCACGCTTCAACAGTTCGGTGATGATCTTCACCCTCCATTTCCATGCCTTCAAGACCTCCTTCACTCTCCTCCTGGTTCTGATGAAATCGTTCACCGTCCAATCTTGCTTATTCAGGTTTTGTACTCTATTCTCTAAATAGCTTGTAAATTGGGAGGGGGGAAAAAAAAAAGACACGCACACACTTCGGATCTGGGGAGTCAGCTGCCCCCCCTTTGTTGCCCCTTAAATTTTTCTTACATTCCTAATATTTTTTTTTCTTGTTTCTTTTTATCATTAGATTGGACATAAAATAAATGAAATTTTGATATCTAATAGGTAAAAAATGGTGTTGTTTTTATTTTTTTTTATGGTTTTTGAAAAAAAATTTCCAAAATTGGTGTAGTTTCTTTCTAATATACATATAAATTCTTGAAAAAACTATGAAAAATTGAAAGCTGCATCATGAGATATCAAAATTTCACTCATTTTATACAGAATCTGATAACAAAGAGAAATAAGAAAAAAAAATTGGAAAGTAGGGAAAAAACTGACGGGTAGCAGAGGGGGCAAGTGACACCTAAATCCCACACACTTCTCACCTTCTATTGACCTTTCTCAATACTTCGCAAATTGTAGGTGACACGCCTCAAGTGTGGTGGTTTCATCTTTGGTCTTCGCATGACTCATTGTTTATGTGACGGACCTGGAATAGTCCAATTCCTGAATTCCCTTGCTGAATTTGCTAATGGCGCAACCGAACCTTCGATCCAACCAGTGTGGCACAGAGTACTTCTAAATGCGAGAGACCCACCACTTGTTAGTTGCACTCATCATGAGTACGATGAAGAAGTGATCGACACCACAAATCCATCCACAAACACCATTCTTCGATCTTTCTTCTTCGGACCTACTGAGATCTCTTCCCTCCGTCGATTGCTCCCCGACCACCTGCGTCAATCCTCCTCATTTGAGGTTGTCACAGCTTGCCTTTGGCTTTGTCGAACAAAAGCTTTACAACTAGATCCACAAAAAGATGTTCGCATGATGATCGTTGTCAATGCACGTTTTGGACGTAACAAACTAAACCCTCCATTATCAAAAGGTTATTATGGCAATGCTACTATGTTTCCAGCTGCAATTTCAACTGCTGGTAAGCTTTGTGAGAGTCCGTTGGGGTATGCTTTGGAGTTAGTGAAGAAAGCAAAGGCTGAAGTGGATGAGGAGTATTTGCGCTCCACAATTGATCTGATAGCTACGAAACGACCAAGATTATGTGGAATATTAAGATCATGTATGGTATCAGATTTGAGCTATCTTGGATTCGGAGATGTTGATTTTGGGTGGGGCAAAGCAGTGTATGCTGGTATTGCAAAGAATCCACTTGAGACATTTCAAGGATTAACTGCTTACGTTGGATATAAAAATAGTAAAGGAGAGGCAGGTAGGGTCGTGCCTATTTGCTTGCCACAGGAATGCATGGAGAGATTTGCTAAAGAGTTGGATTGCTTACTTAACGGTGTCCCGCAGGAGATCCAAGAATCAACAAGTGTGATTGCTGAACTCTAATATATGTTACTTATGTTTGGTATGGTGGGGTCAAATTGCATTGCAAAAGTGTTTAATTTGCAAGTGAAATTGTCAGTTTGGTGTTTGTGTTCTGTAGGTAATATATAGGGCAAATTTCACTGTAGGACCGCAGAAGACAATTAATTTCAAAGAGCCCCCAAAACTTTCTGAAATTTCACTGCAGGACCAAGGGGGCAAACTGATATTAATTCCACAAAGAAAATGACCCTATTGCCCCTCATGTGAACAAGTATGGGAGAACCCATTTGCAAGTGAGGTTAGATAATTTACAACATGCATAAATATATTTACAATTAAAATTAGTCCATTTACATATTACCTTCTTCACCTGAAAAATGTGTCTGAGTGAACAAGTGTGGGACAGCCCATTTGCAAGTGAGACTAGAAAATTTGCAACATATATATATTTATTTACAATTGGAATTATTCCATTTACACGTCACTTCCTTTACCTGAAAAAGGTCTCCGTGAGTGAACAAGTGTGGGAGCGCCCATTTACAAGTGGAATTAGTCAATTTGCAACATACATACATTTATTTACAATTAGAATTAGTCCATTTACATATCACCTCATTCACCTGAAAAGGTGCCTGTGAGTGAATAAGTGTGAGAGAACCCATTTGCAAGTGGGACTAGTCAATTTGCAACATACATACCTTTATTTACAATTGAAATTAGTCCATTTACACGTCACCCTGCAATAAGTATTATGAGGGGCAATAGCGTCATTTTCTTTGTGGAATTAATATCAGTTTGCCCCCTTGGTCCTGCAGTGAAGTTTCAGAAAGTTTTGAGGGCTCTTTGAAATTAATTGTCTTCAGCGGTTCTACAGTGAAATTTTTCCTAATATATATATATATAGAGTATATGTTATCAAGTTCATGCATACCATATATCCAGTTGATTCTGCTGTTCCAGGGCATCGATTCGCGCCTCTCTTTCAAACTGTTACCCCAATCCTGTGTTTGGTATGAGGAAAAAAGAGGGAAGAAAATGGGAGGAAAAATTTTAATGACCTTAATTTGAAAATTTTGAGAAGTGGAGTTTTAAAATTTTAATAAAGAGAAAAATGTAAGATAAAATAATAACAAAAAATAATTAAAAATTTTTAACCTCATTTTTAAAATTTTTTAAATTGAGTTTATTAAAATTTTTCCTCTACTCTCTTTCCTTCTTCTCCATTTTCTTTGTACCAAATGAACTCTTAACGGTTACGCAACGGATATTTTGGTTTTTAACAGGGAGATCGCCAAAAAAAAAAAAGGGTTGCTTTGCTATTTGATATTGACCCAAAAATTTCATAATGAGATTCCAAATCTGATACCTACGGAACAAATTTGCAACATATTGATGATTTTCAAAGCTTTAATGTGGAAAATTAGGTGATAAATTCTCCTGTGGAGGACTTTAACACTAAACTTCCAAAATTTGATATTAATGTACTAAAAATTTGTACATAATTAATATTTTAATTTTTAATATAGAAAATTGAAAACATTACTTGTTTAGCTAATACAAATAGTTGCATGGGTTTGATAATCACTTCAAATAATTTACTGCTGACTATATGAAAAAAAAACGATGATGGAAAAATTAGGGAAAATTTCCCATTGAAAATTTAAAAATTTCAATAAAGAACCAAAGATTCTTAACAACAATATTACAAAAGTTTCTGATGAAGAAAACTTGTGAAAACTAATCTTTTTGTTCAATAGTTTATCGTAATCTTAAATTTAGTCATTGCAATATTTTTCTTTCTAAACCTCCTATATTTTCCTGATCTTTACAAGTTAACCCCCGTAGTTCATGATATCTGAACTCTTTTATCCTTGAGTTTAATTAATAGATGCCTTAACACGCTATTTTCTCAATATTTGTTTAAATTCATGGAATGACTAGGACCATCTATTTATTCATATATACGTAGTATTATTCTTGCGTTTCTATATATTAATCCTAAACGTACCTTTCATAAGATTCTATTTCCTCATATTCACTGAAAGATTAATTCCAAGAAACAAGAACAAAAAAGAAACTTATACATAAAGGATGGAAAAGAATCCAAGTAGTATTTGTAATATTCTAAATTTTGAAGCTAGAAATTTATAAGATGTTTGAGAAGCATAAATATTTAGTTAAGGCCTCGGAAAATAATTATTCTATAGAAGCCTATTATTAAGTAAGAAATATAGGAAAATAAAGAAGGAATAATTATTAAAAATATACAGTGGCCCAAAATAACTAAGAAAAATTATAGATAATTATTTTGGGAGATAAATGTGTTTATGGAAGAATAAAAGGGTAGAGATAATTTAAAATCTAATTTCCTAAATTAAAGGCTTATTTTCTTGAGAAATTCAAGAAAAATAGTTATAGGTTAATTTTTAACCTGCAAATTTTAGGAAAGTTATTTAGTGGGCTAAAGAAGCTAAAAAGAAAGAAAACTTGTATAAAATGCCGAAGATTAATTTTAAAAATTATTTAAGATTAAAGTACAAATTTAAAAAAGAGCATAGTTACTATAAGAGTTATAAGCAAAGGGCAAAACAACTTTTTGCCTTTTTCCCCAATTATACGTGTCTTTGCCCTCGATGATCATTCCCAAATCATTCTCTTCCTGTCATGTTCTCTGCCTCCTTTCACCACCTTCAGCCACCTCTTCCCTTGCACCAGATCTTTTTCAACACGCTTCTCTTCTACTTCTTCAGCAAATCGTATCCAAGAAGCTTGAGGGAGGATACTGGTGAGAGGCAGGGAGAATAAGTGCGAAAATAGAGAGTGAGGAACAGACAGAGAGAGATCCAGAGAAGAGGAATCAGAGTGGCGGGATTCCACATGCAACACTAGAGTCTAACCCAGGTAAGCCGTTCAGCATCTTCCAGTCCTTGATTTCATCGATTAGAGTGGTCTGAGTGGGGAGAGGGCCATCGGATTCTGGGTGTTCATTTGGGGGCAAAAGAGGCGATTGAAACTGAAGCAAAATAATGTATCGATTAAACTTAAGAAAAGATTTAAACACTGATGGTAGATAATTTTCGGACTCCTACTTTCTGATAGTGGATGTAACAGTGGGTTCCATGATAAAATGGAAAGGAAAGTTGTTTGGGCTTTCCATTTGATGACATTAAACACTTGAATACTCTACGTTGATATGGGTGTGTGTCCGTGCTGTTGTTATTCTTTTTCTTTGAACTTTGGGCAAGCTAACTAAAAGAAAAGAAAAGGAAATATGTGTATGGTTGTGTGATCTGAATATGTGAAGCTGGAATATTTTTATATAACTTTGAAGTGCTACTATTACTGATACTATAACAGTGGCTTAAACTATTAAAATGCTGCCAGATTTCTTAAGGGAGCCCGTGAGACTGTTGGATGATAATCAAGTTAAATAAAAGTGATGATAGCTAGTAAATGAGGATGATAATTCAGATTTAAGAAGGATGCTGTCATGAGGCCAAACTGAATTATTGAAACTTGAATAACTAAGCCATATATATATATAAATATATATGCGTGTTATATTATAGTTGCTGGATGAGACGGCTGCTGAAAATTGATTTAAACTTGCTAATTGCTGTTTTGGAAGCTGAAATATGTGGAGAATGCTATTGATGTGAATTTTGCTGATTCATGTTTCAAATTGGATTATTATATCTGTAGACATCGGAACCATTCCATTTTAATGTTTTAATTTGAGTTTGTAATTGAAGCAAGAAAAGTGGTACTCCTCCAGTCCTTAATAAAAGGCTTAATTGTTGAGTTGATTTTGATCATAAATATGAGACATATTTCTCATATTTTTCAATTTTTCCTAAATTATCTCTATAACTACTCCCTCAACCATAATCAAGTAGAAGAAAGAGGGAGGATATTAAGAAAGATGATTATTGTGTTTCAGAAAAAACATATCATATTTCTTATAATTAACTAACTTACCTAACTTTCAGCTCAAAAAAAAAAAACTAACCTAACTTTTTTAATCTAATCAGATTAGTTAAATGGGTCTTATATTAAGGACCGAAGGCGTATTAAATTTCTATATAATACCTAAAATATTAGATGAGTAATTAGATTGTTAAAAATGTTGCTGGTATAGGATAATGACAGCTTTATGTGTTCGAAGGTATTAAAATGGGAGCTGCCTGTGAAAGAACCTAAAACCAAAGTATATGAGCAATTGGTAATTTGAGGAATGATATTAAATCTGGAAAATTTCCAGAATAATCTGGAAAATACTTCATGAATGAGAAATGTGCCGACACATGCTCATTAAATTTGAATGTTGGAAATTGATATAAACTTGTTGTAGCTATTGCTAATGTTAAATGCTACCCACTGTTTATAATGGTTAGAGTGACAACCGAAAGTTAGGAATTCTCAATTCTATTAAGAGTAGTCATGGTTGCTGCGTGATAATTGATTATGTTACTATGACAATCTCATGTTCTGTGGTTTAAAGATTAAGGACATAAAACAGTCATTGTTTCATTAAGAATGACAATGTGCGAAGTATTAAAGGCTTAATATATAATGGATAGAATAAAAGGCTTAGAGCTGAGCTAAAGATCCAACAGAAGTTTCTGTTTAGTATTTACAAATATAAAGTTGCTGATATATAGTGTTAAACAAATGCTCAAGTATAGTCACTGAATTATATGTTTAGATGTTAAACTGTTATTCTCAGCTATGTGAGCTATGTGAGTGAGATTGAATGTTCAAAACAGATAATAGAAGAAACCGAAATACTTGATGAAACCATCCATGTTTGTGAAATGTATAAGAGTGAACTAGACCTGATGAACTAATTTGAAATTCCTTTTAAATATCTCTAAATGTCAAGTTAATGTTCTATGTAGCTATTTATGATCGAAGAGTATTTAAATGATGATTTAAGTTTGTTGTTTTGTGTTCCTGCATACTAATCAATTATTTAAGAAGCATGAAGAGTTAATAACTAAGTTAAATTGTACTCTCTTAAC